CACTGGCTGGCCTCTCAGGCTCCCCCGCTCTGTCCCCTGGGCCTGTAGTGTCTCTGGCCTTCCTTAGGCCCCCACTGCCCGAGAGAGCGACGTTAGCGACACGGTGGCCCCTGGCCAGGAGCAGCTCCTGCTGCATCTTCCTGTCGCCGCCACCAGGCTAAATATAACCTGACACTGCACAGCCCTGGGCCGCCGCCGCCGTCGGAGACAGCCTCTGCCTGGGGGCGGACAGGCCAACTGGAGCCCCAGCCTCCTGCCCCAGCAGGGCAGGACAGCGACCGGGGCGAGGATGGCTGCTTCCCCGAGGTCACCTTCCCTGCAAGGACCCGGCACCCTGCCTCGTTACAGCTCTGAATGCTTCCACAAGGCCATCTATCATCTCATCTGGCACCCAGAGTACGAGTCACTTGTCCCTGCAGTACCCACAGGGAGTCTGAAGCTCAGAGAGGTGGCTGACCTGCCCACAGTCACACAGCGATTGCCCAGGTCTCCTGAGGGTCGGGGCAGATCAGCTCGGCTCAGCTCCCCAGGACCCCTCTCTCTGCCAACTCATCCCGGACTCCAAACTGGGGGTCCTGTTGACTCCCCGGCTCAGTGAGGGTGGGTGCCACGCCTGTCTTGTTCATGAGGCCCTGAACGCTTCACGCGCGTGTGCTCAGTGAATACTCCAGGGGGATTAAGAGCCACCTGCAAAGGAGCTTGATGACACCTAGTATGCAGACGAGCCACTAGAGATTCTGACCTGGGGAGCTTGTCCAAGGACACGCAGGTCACCCGCAGGCCTCCCTTTCCCCACCTGCCCGGTGCTGCCCCAAGAGATAAGGCCTGCCCCCGCGAAAGCCGATGGCGGCTCCTGCCTGGCGACCAGCCAGGGGTTCCCAGAGGTGGGCAGTTGGGTTTGGGATTGTGGGTGGGGCCCCTGGATGGGTTGGGATGCAGGGCAGGGACGGTGCCCCAGGTGCACTGTTGGGTGTGGGTTGGCACCAGGTGAAAGCAAGCCAGTGTTGCGTTCTGATGAAGATGGCTCCCTTCCCCGAGGTCAGGAGGAACTGGACCTGCTGCACCTGGAAGGTAGCCAGACCTGGTCCCCTGGGGCCCTCCCACTGCCCCCCTGACCCTTCCTCAGTGGCCTGTGGTGAGCTGCATGACCTCTGCGGCCCTTAGGATCTGAGGCGCAGAGGAGCCTGTCCTTGTGTGAGGCTGTCAATCCATGACTACCTCTCCTCTCCCGGTCTTCATTCTCACAGGGCCCAGGGTGCCCCAAGCCCAGGAGGCAGGCCGAGGCTGGGTGCCCGGATGTCTTCAGCTGGGGCTGGGGTCGGCGGGTGGGGGTGGTGTGAGTCGGGTGTTCTTCAGCACCAGCCACGTGAGCCAGGCTGGCCGAAGGGCCCTCTCCCTCTCCTCCTTCTCCAGTTACCAAGATGTCCCTTTGGGGACTTCCCTGGCGGTCCAGTGGTTAAGACTCCGCGCTTCCATTGCAGGGAGCGCAGGTTCAGTCCCTGGTCGGGGAAACTAAGATCCCGAAAGCTGCGCAGCGTGGCAAAAAAAAAACAACCCCGCAAATAAACAGAAGCAAAAACAAACAAAAAAACCTCCCTTGGGCCCTCCCGCTTCACAGTGTTGTGTCATTCATCCCTCCAGCCCAGTGGGGCATGGCCATCGTCCTGTATTGCAGATGAGCTCCCTGGGGCCGGAGGGGGGCAGGTGACTCGCCCAAAGTCATTCTGATGCAATGAGCGAAGGCCACTTAACTCCATAGCCTGTGCCCCGCCCTTTCGCGCCCGGGAGCCCCTCAGCCGTTCTGCGGGCAGGGCAGGGGCCCTCCGCTCCCCGTTCCCTCCTTCCCCGGGCGCTCCAGACTCCGGCTGTCTCGGGAGCGCGGGCCGCTCCTGCCACAGAGCGGCTCTCGGCGGAACTGCAGCCTCCACCAGCTCTGGGCTCAAGTCAGCCTCTGCTCCGCGGAGCTGCTCTGGGGGGGTGGGGCAGGGCGGAGGCAGGAGAGGAACAGAGGGATGAGCGGGGTCTGGGGTACGTAGGAGCAGGGCTCATGGGGGGCGAGGCACTGGTCCCGGCGTGCGGTGCCAGCCCAGGGCTCCGGGGAGGCGGCCCAGACACTGACTCTGAACATTTCTTCTCTGCTGAGAAGTTGTGTGAAGGTCACAGCCCCGCCGCCTGCAGGCCGCGATGTGCCTCTGCTCAGTTCTGGCTGTCCCTGTGCCCCGCCCCTGGCCTGCTGACCTCCAGCTGCCCTCAGGGACCCCCCCCCACCCCCGCCAGAATTCCAGCCAGTGATGGGATGGGGTCCCCTGGCAGGTCTGGCTGAAGAGCTAGGGGTGGATGATACGGCAGCTCATGGAAGACCCAGCCAGCCAGGCAGGATGGGCGGGAGGCAGAGCCTCTCGGAGCCCTGGCTGACCTGGGGCTACCCGCTTTCCTTCCTTCCGTGGCCCCTCGAAAATAGTAGCTGGAGCCTAACACCCCGCCTCCCCCCAGCCATCAGGCAGGGCTCCAGTTCACATTTTCGGAATAACAAGGGCTTTTACAGGGTTATTTGAAAGGGAAAATTCCTTGAATGTCGACAAAGGGAGAGGACCAAGGGGGCTCCGTGTGTGAGTGTGTGTCTGTGTCCAAGGGCCGGGGGTGGGCCTGTGCTGTAAGGGGGCTTATATCTGGAGTTTCTGCGGCCTGGCGTGAAGGGGGGCACAATTTGCGATGTCAGGGTCCTGGGCTGTCCAGGCTGCAGAATGCAGGTCTGGCCTCTCTTGCTGAGAAGCTGGAACTGAAGTGGGCACGGGGTGTGGAGGCCTCAAGTTCAGAATCCTGAGGCCGTGCCCTGGGGGCAGGATCCCCAGGCCATCCTGCAGGGTTGGGCTCATCAGGGTTCCAGACTCTGGACTTATGTGAGACGAGTTTCCCAGCGAGGAACCAAGACCAGGGGCCTGGATCGCTGGGCTCCCAGGGGGTGGGTGTTGGGGGGGGTCTCCAGGGCTACGGTTTCCTGGTCTCTGGCCTCTCCTTAGTCCCTATGAGGGCCGGTCCCTGTTCAGGCTGCTGCCGGCCATCACCATATTAGGGCATAAACTCTAGGCGGGCTGTCTAGGTGCCAGATGGTCTCCAGCTGGGCCCGGCCTCCTGCAGCTCCCAACACCACGGCAGTGTTTCAGCCGGGCCATGTCAGAGGCTGGAGGTCAGGGGACAGGAGCAGCTACTGGAAAGAGACCCTGAAAGAGACCCCCAGCTCAGGTCCCGTGGGCCAAGCCATGAGGGCCTGGGACGCGGTGAGTGGAAGGGCTTTGGGGTAGGGCAGAGAATTCTTGGCCAGCCCCTGCCCTGGCCCAGCTCCCCTCATCCCAGTGCCATCCTGTTTCCTTTGGTTTCAGAGGATCTCCTTCCACCAGATTAATCCCACAGCAGTTAGAATTGCTCCCCTGCCGCTCCCTCTCGGCCCTGTCCCTATAGCAATCGCCCCGGAGCCTGGCCAGCACCTCCTAGGAATCAGGCCCTTTACGCCTGGCCTTCTCAGGTCTGTGGAGGAGCTGCGGCTGCACTTCCCAGGGCTGGCCCACAGGGCTCACTGGCCGAAGGCCCCTCCAGCTGGTTGGCCTTGACTCAGTTCACCCCAGCCATGTCCTCTCCACCAGCCCTGATCCTTGACTCCTCCCCCGCCGTTAGCCCCACCCCATCACCAACACCACTGGCCAGCGCCTGCTCCCTGGTGCGTTGTTCTGGGTGCTAGGCCCTTCAGAGGGGACACAGACGCTGGTGAGTTAGGACCCGGCAGTTCAGAGAAGACAGATGAGCATCAAGAAAGAAGTCTCTGCCCTGGGAAGAGAAGATGAGGAACATGCTTGGTCCCCATCAGGTCCATGGAGGAACAGAATGTTAATGCGCCTTCTTGTTGCATCAAGGAGGGCTTCCTGGAGGCGGGGGTTCTGAGCTGGGCCTTAGGCAGAGCCTGAGAGCGCACCAGGGTCTCTTTCAGAAATCAGCAGAGAGGAGGGTGTGGGGGCCGTGCGCTGGTCAAAGGCAGAGGCGGAACAGGTACATTGGCCTGGTGAACTGACAGCAGCTGGAATAGGGGGCCTGGTGGCCAGAGAGAGACATTGGGAGGGAAAAAAAAAATCAAGAACAGAGAAGAAGACGAGAGACAGATGAAAGATCTAGAAGCAGCACCTCTCAACTCTGGTGAAGGATCAGTTTTGTTTCTAATGTGTCACAGACCAATACTTGTGTGAAATACAAAAATCACATGCTTGGGTATTGTGGCAATGCCCAATTGCTGTAAAGGTTTTGAAGCTCTTGCTCTCAACTTCTGAACTTATCTTCTTGTGGATGACACAACAGTTGGGTACGAACGAAGAGGAGCAAAGACAGACAGAGACAGAGGGTGATGGCTAACCTGTCTCTAGTGTTCGGCGCACGCCAGGCACTGCCCTAGGTAGCTGGCACGTGTTGACTTATTTAATCTTTACAACTCACGAGGAACGAATTATCATCGTTCCCATTTTATAGATGAGGAAAATGAGGCACAGGGAGGTTAAAAACGTAAGAAAAATGCATCAATGACGAGGCAGCAGAGCTGGGATCCGAACCCTGAGATCCTGGGCTTAAAGTCTGTGGGCTTAACCTCCAGGCTGCACTGCCTTGCATGAGGAAAAGCAAAGACAGAGTGCGAGAGGATAGGGAAAAAGGTGAAACAACCCAGGAAGAAAGGAGCAGAAGGCAGTGTGAGGAGAACGCACGTCGGGAGAGAGGGCTGGAGAACCAAGGCAAGCAGAGAGGGAAAAGGAGAGCTTTGAAAGCGGAAAGCTGGAGCGGCCAGATTGGGGAAGCAGCTCTGGCCGGCAGGTGGCAGGAGGAGGGGGTGGGGCAGGAGGCAATGGCGAGAAGGGGCAGGACTGTGTGTGGGAGCCGTGGGGGAGGCAGAAGTGGACAGGCCCCTTCAGGTTCCGGGGGCCCGTTCCGCCTGGTAGCACAGTGGCCGTGTCTCTGCTCTGCAGGGAGCTGCTTCCCGTGCCTGGTGGATGTGGTGCCCGTGAAGAACGAAGATGGGGCTGTCATCATGTTCATCCTTAACTTTGAGGTGGTGATGGAGAAGGACATGGTGGGATCCCCAAACCGTGACACCAATCACCGTGCCCCTCCCACCAGCTGGCTGGCCCCCGGTAAGTGCAGCTGTGTTCTTGGGCTGGCTCAGGAATACACGGTTTCCCTTCCCTGGGGCCGTGAGGCCGCCCGAGGGCAACGCTCTGCAGGAAGGGATGCGGAGGGGATCCCTTCAGGGATGGGGGAGAGAACATGGACACGGCCGGTCCCCTCCAGCTCAGCATGGACAGATGCGGTGGAGTGACTGAGCCCAGATTCACAGGTCCCTGGGGCAGGAGCATGGCTGGTTTCATAGCCTTACCCGCTTGGGGTCCCACCACAGCATCCCCTGGGAGTGATCCTCTCTCCAGCCCCAGGGATGGGGGATTCACCCTTCCCAGATGGCCCTGGCCACTTCGGGGCAGCCCCCTCTGCTCATGAGAAGGCTCCGTCTCTCATGGACTCAACTCTGTGAAGTTTCTCTCTCTGGTCCTTGTTCCCGGACGGGTCAGCTCCCTGCCGTGGCCTTGGCTACTTGAGAAGAGGATGTGAGGGGACTCCTCCCTGTGGCTGGAGGCGTGGAGGCCTCACCTCATCCCCCCATGACTCAAAGGCTCAGACACCTCCTCCTCCCCCTGTGTGGCTTTTTTGGGTTTAATTTTTTTTTTTTTTTTTTTTTGGCGGTACGCGGGCCTCTCACTGCTGTGGCCTCTCCCGTTGCGGAGCACAGGCTCCGGACGCGCAGGCTCAGTGGCCATGGCTCACGGGCCCAGCCGCTCCGTGGCACGTGGTATCTTCCCGGACCGGGGCATGAACCCGTGTCCCCTGCGTCGGCAGGCGGACTCTCAACCACTGCGCCACCAGGGAAGCCCCATTTGGGTTTAATTTTAAATGTTCCCTCAGAGTCATGGCGAAAGAAACCACCTCTTGGTTTCTCAAGCTCTAAAGTGGCAGCATTAGTAACACTGGCCCCACCTGTTCCATGGGTGCCACCTCCAAGGTGGCAGGGTACGGCGGGAACCCGTGGCATCACTCCTCCATTTGGATGCAGGCCCTGCCGTTTACTGTGTGACCTCCAGCAAATCACATAACTCGCTGACGCCTAAATTTCCTCAAGTCTAAAATGGAGGTAATGATACCCAATGGGTGCAGTTGTGAGAGCCACGGTGGTGTATGTAGAGACTGCCGGTGATGTGAGGCTCAAGAAATGGTGGTTTATTATTGGCGGAGTCTTAGATACGACTGCATTCTAGACTTTTTCTGGACACTTGAGTTCTGTGCAGTAGGAGTAGGGGTGGAGGGGTGCCGGCGGCTCTCGGGGCTCCCACTTTCCCTCCTTCCTCCCCTTGGTGACTGGGCTCCAGCTGCTAGGCCTGGCCCTCTCCCGGGCTGCTGGCGCCACGCACCTCCCCTCTCCACGCAGGCCGCGCCAAGACCTTCCGCTTGAAGCTGCCCGCGCTGCTGGCCTTGACCGCCCGGGATTCGTCGGTGCGGCCGGGTAGCGCAGGCGGCGCCGGTGCCCCGGGGGCCGTGGTGGTGGACATGGACCTGACGCCCGCGGCGCCCAGCAGCGAGTCGCTGGCCCTGGACGAGGTGACGGCCATGGACAACCACGTGGCGGGGCTCGGGCCGGTGGAGGAGCGGCGCGCTCTGGTGGGCCCGGGCTCGCCGCCCGCCTGCGCGCCCGGCCCGCACCCGTCGCCCCGGGCGCACAGCCTCAACCCTGACGCCTCGGGCTCCAGCTGCAGCCTGGCCCGGACGCGCTCCCGAGAGAGCTGCGCCAGCGTGCGCCGCGCCTCCTCGGCCGACGACATCGAGGCCATGCGCGCTGGGGCGCTGCCCCCGCCGCCGCGCCACGCCAGCACCGGTGAGGGTCGGCCCCACCCCTGCAGGAACTGCCCGGCTGCGTCCTCACCCGCGGGCCTGTCCATTCCAGGCCCTCAGCTTCCTCCCTCTCCGCCCTGTCCTGTGTGCCTGGGAGATGGAAATCCTATTAAGCGCTTACTTAATCCCATTAAGTAGCCTTTTATTCCATTAAACGTGCATTCATCCCGTTGCATTCTTCCACTCTCAGAGCAGGTGCTGGCCCCGAGGAGCTGGCTCTCCCAGGCTGGCCTGGAGCGGGGATGCCCACGGGAGTCGGGAAGGCGGGAGAGGCATCTGGGTCCCTGCCACCACCTGGGCCTCTGGCAGGCTCCCAGTGCCTGCTGAACAGGCCCGTATGGAGGCTCTTTCCCCTTCGTCATCTCATAGCTGCATCAGGCGTGCTTCCTTACGGTGGGGAGGGGTCTGCCCTCACTTGTTTCTCAGGGACTCCACTCCTGTTTCCTGAGCTGGCCTCAGTGAACCCCACGGCCTGGCTCCTACAGGGCCCGTCTCCACCTCAGCTCTGTGTTGTTGACCTGACGGCCTTTGCCCCTGCCTGCCTGCCACCCTGACCCCCTTTCCCCTCCACCCCAGGGGCCATGCACCCCCTGCGCAGCGGCCTGCTTAACTCCACATCAGATTCGGACCTCGTGCGCTACCGCACCATTAGCAAGATTCCCCAAATCACCCTCAACTTTGTGGACCTCAAGGGCGACCCCTTCCTGGCTTCGCCCACCAGCGACCGGGAGATCATAGCCCCCAAGATAAAGGAGCGGACCCATAATGTCACTGAGAAGGTCACCCAGGTAGGTGTCCAGCTCGCTGGCTCTCCGCTCACGTGGGAGGAGCTTGGAGGGAGTGGAGTGGGAGTGGACTGTGGTCAAAAGGGGGGGTGGAGGGGTGCAGTCAGTGAGGGCCTCCTGAAGGTGGCGGACGTGCCGGCTGGGGGTGAGGGTGGCGTTTCAGAGCTGGGACGAGAGAGATCCTGGAGCAAGGGAGACTGGAGGGGGGTGCCCACGGGAGGGGCAGATACAGAGGACAGGTGGATGGGGCTCAGGGAGGACAGGGCAGTTGAGGCCGGGCACCTGGCAGGGTGAGGGTGGGTGGGAGAAGGGGGCCACGGGGCACAACAGAGTCCTGGGGGCAAACCAACGGGAGGTTTCACGTTAGAAGGGGCCACAGAGGTCAAGGTTGGGGGTCCTGATTCTTCTAGGCCAATGTGATGAGCCAGGCAGAGGGTGGGAACCCGGTGCTAGGGCCAGGGTGGCCTAGAGGTGCCCACCCCTGTCCCCAGACCATGGGAGAGGAGAATTTTCCTTCCCAAGTCGGGAGGGGAGGGTATGGAGTTGGGCGCACAGATACAAGAGGGGCCAAGTCCCTGAATTCCAGACCAGAGAAGATTGCCAGCCTGGGGGGGGGGGCACTGCCCAACACTGCCCAGTGGCAGGGCCAGCCTGGTCTCCTGCCCCCTCTTGGCAGCAAGCCACCCCCACTGCCCAGTCCATCCCAGCTCCTTCCCGTCCTGGCCTGGGGGTGGGGTGGGGGAAGGTCAGGACTGAGAATCCAGGGACGGAGGGGGCTCCCGGGCCACACCTGGCTCGCCTCAGTCCCACCGCCCCCTCCAGCTCCTTCGGGCTCCCTGAGCCGCCCGAGTGAGGGAGCTGTCCGCGCGCTGCCCTGGGCCTCCTCAGCCCTCCTCCTGGCCCCGCTCCGCTGCCGCCTTGGCTCTCTGGGTCCCTGCCAGGTCTCCGGCCCCTTGGCCTTGACTCCAGAACGTTCCCCCCACCCTAGGCCCCATATCTGGCTGCCTCGGCCTCACCCCCTCCCACCTCTGCCTCTCTCGTCCTCACCTGGAGCCCTGCCGGCTGCCCTGCCCCTGTGCCCACAGCGTGTGCTGTCGTGTTGTGGTCTGTGCGCGCCAGCGTGAGCCTGTGCTCCTGGCTCTTTGGTGGCCGGCCGGTCGCTCCATCTCTGGGTGTCTGTCTGACTCTGGCTGGCTGGGCACTGGACCGGCGGGGCGGGGGTGTCGGGGAGACCATTAATCTGCGGTGACAGGCCGGGCTGCCGGGGGGGAGGGGGAGGGGCACGGGCCGCGGGAGTGGCTGCGGCGGGAGCCCGGAGCGGGCCGCGGGGGAGGGGGCCTCTGGCCGGCGGGCGGGGCGCGGGAGCCCGGTGCCGGCGGGGCGGGGGTGGGGACCTGGGAGGAGGAGGGGCCGGCTGGAGGAGCCGAGGTTCCTACCGCGGTGCCCTGCTGCTGCTGGGCTGGCAGCTGGCAGAGCGCAGCACCCTGGCAGCGGGGCCGGCACCAGGGGGCCATGGGCGGCCTGAGCCAGGCGGGCTGCTCTCCGCGCTCACTGCCAGGGTGACCCCAGCCCCGAGGCCCAACCCCAGTGACCCTGGCTTCGTGCCAGAGGCTGCCCTGGGAGCCAGGCCGCCAGCGGCTGGGGCGCAGCCTGGGCTGAGGCTGCTGTTGAGGTGCAGGTGAGGCGCTGGCTGGGCCCTTGGGCCCCGGGCAGGCAAGCTGGGGGGAGCCAAGTCCTCCATGGCGGCCCCAGCGGGGAAGGCGAGCAGGACAGGGGCTCTGCAGCCCAGGGCCCAGAAAGGCCGGGTGAGGCGGGCCGTGCGCATCTCCAGCCTGGTGGCCCAGGAGGTAGGTGACCCCCCCAGCCCCTCCCCCTCCCTCCGGGGCGGGGGCACCGAGATGGATGCGGCCCAGAGGGCTCTGGCTCCAGGCCCGGAGAGGGCTTCTGAGATGCAGGATGGTTTGGGAGCGCTGGGATCTGTGGCCCCGCTCATCCCATTCCTGGCTCCGGCTTGCTCGCTCTTCTCCAGACCCGCTGGGCCTAGGTGGACAGTGTTTTTCTTGCCAGCGCTTCCCTTCTCCTTGGGCTTCCGTGGCCCAGCCTTCTAGCTCGAAACGCAAAAGGAGGAGAGGGGAGAACAGGAGTGAAGTGGGTGCGCGGAGAGGATGGCGGGGAGACAGGGGAGGAGAGGATGGCTCCCACTCCCACCCCACCTCCCCCAGCCAGCGGGCAGCAGCCGGGCCTGGCACAGAGGTGCAGGGGCTCCACCCCTCCAGCACTCTGTGTGTTGTGAGTGGACCCTGCGGCGGGCGAGTGAGGCGTGGGCTGCTTCAGGGGTCCAGGTTGGGGGGCTGGGACCCGAGGAGGCTGGGGTCAGAGGCCACTGGATGAGTGGTGAGGGCAGGCTGAGCCGGGCACCTGGTCCACCTCTTCTGGGGCAGCCTGAGGTGCTGGTGGCTACGCTGTGGTCCGCCAGGCTGCTGACTCTATAGGCACCTCCTGGGAGCCACGTCTCCAGCCCCTGGGGGGCTTCTGGCAGAGAGCCAGAAGCCAGCTCAGGGAGGATGGCCCGGGGAGTTGGAAGGCTCATGGGTGGGTCTGGGTCTGAGAATCCCACCCCTGTCGCCACCACCAGCACCTAAAGTCTCTGCCGTGGCTCTTGTGACCCTCCCAGCTGGCGGACAGGTATGGGAGGGGATTCTTCCCGGCCACAGGTGAGGACCCGGGGTTTGGCTTAAATGAGTTTTAGTATTCTGTGTGACAACAGGTTATGTAACAGGGGAGGTTATATACCGGCAAGGCCGTGTGGCGAGCTGGTGGTTGCAGAGCTGAGCAGCCCGGCCAGCCCCCACAAGAGGAGGTCTGCGGGGCCGGGCCTCGTGCCCTGGCCTTGCCCCCGGCATATGTGCTTGTGTCCTGGGCGGTGCTGGTCCTGCTGTGGGCAGACTCAGGTAGGGGGCAGGATCCCATTTGTCAGGTGTGGTTGAGCACAGCCTCCGGGGGCCTGGCCTCTCAGGTGTGGTGAGGAACCCCATCCGGGAACCTTCTTCTGCCTCCTTGTCTCTGAGGGCCCTTTGCAGTCCCCACTTGACCCCTGAAAGTTCACCGCCCGTGTTTTCTGCCTTAAGGAGCAAGGGGCTCGGGCTGAAGGCAGGGCAGAAGCGGGGGCCTGGAAGCCACGTGCCCCTTCTCCTGCCCCAGGCCCCAGCTGCCCACCCCACCCATCCTGTGCGTCTGGAGCCCCTGTGGCCAAACCCCTAACTATGGCCCATCTTAACTTCCGGTCCACCAAGGAGAGGCTCTCCACACAGGCCATCTGGTGAGGGTGGTTCCAGGGGGTCCCCAGCTTGAATATGAATGGGAGTCTGCGGCTCCACCCACCACGGCCCTGCCCAGCACAGAGGCCTGAGGATGCGGGGCCCAGGCACCTAGTACTGCTCCCGCAGGGCCGGCAACCTTGGCTCTCAAGGGGGCGGGTGAGGCCTTGGGTTTGGCTGCCCAGGGATGGCAGGGCCAGGCTGGGAGAGTTTGGGGATTCTGAGGGGCAGGAGGAGGCCGCAGGGGGACAGACAGAGGCTCCTGGGACAGCACGAGAAAGCTGGTCTCAGCTCTTTTAGTTTGGCTTGGGGGGAAAGAGTGGTGTGGCTTGCTGCCACCTGGTCTGGATGGCGAGCCTGCCTCTGCCTGGGTGATGAAGGGGCAGGACAGGAGGTGAGCCGGTGCGGGGCTGGGTGGTCACTTCTGAATGGCTGCCCTGGGCCAGGGTGAGTAGGGAGGGGGAGTGAGTGTCATGGTCTCTCTTTCCGGGATGCCAAAGGGCCTGAGGCTGGGTGGCTGGTATCCTTGGGCCAGAGGCATGAAGGGACATTTAGGCCCTCAGTCCCTGGGCCACCAGCAATGGGACTCGTAAGGAGCTGGAGTGACCACCACCATTTACATCGCCCAGGCCGGAAGCTGTAGTCCTTGGAGCATTATCTGGACAGAGACTGTAGTATATGTGGGACGTGTGTGCGTGTGTGTGTGTGTGTGTGTGTGTGTGTGTGTGTGGTGTTTGGGGGTGTGGGTAAGATCTCACGGTGGGAGTTATATCCATAGTTATCGGTCTGTATTGCTGGTGGGGAGCAGTACTTGTGGGTGTTACTGCTTGGTGCCCTGGACTCAGCCAGCCAGGAGGTCCCGTGCCACATGGGGAAGGAACTCTGGTGAGTGGCCGTGTCCGCTTGTCTGAGGGTGGGCTTCCCCGCTTACTCTGCGTGGCCTCTTCTCTGGAGGGCCCAGCAGAGATGCTACCTGCTCCTACCCTGGAGGGCCCCATGGTCTGTCCTCCCTGCCCAGACCCTGGCTGGACATCATACCCTCACCTGCACCTTCCCCGCCGGCTCAGGTCCTGTCCCTGGGGGCCGATGTGCTGCCGGAGTATAAGCTGCAGGCACCGCGCATTCACCGCTGGACCATCCTGCACTACAGCCCCTTCAAGGCCGTGTGGGACTGGCTCATCCTGCTGCTGGTCATCTACACGGCGGTCTTCACGCCCTACTCGGCCGCCTTCCTGCTGAAGGAGACGGAAGAGGGTCGCCCGGCCCCCGACTGTGGCTATGCCTGCCAGCCGCTGGCTGTGGTGGACCTCATCGTGGACATCATGTTCATCGTGGACATCCTTATCAACTTCCGCACCACCTACGTCAACGCCAACGAGGAGGTGGTCAGCCACCCCGGCCGCATCGCCGTGCACTACTTCAAGGGCTGGTTCCTCATTGACATGGTGGCCGCCATCCCCTTTGACTTGCTTATCTTCGGCTCTGGCTCTGAAGAGGTGGGTTGGCAAGGAGGCAGGGGCAAGGGGAGGGCAGCAGGTGGTGGGGTGAAGGGGTGGGTGGAGACAGAGGGAGGGTGGCAGACGCGTGGCAGAGCCCCAGCTAACCCGCACCTGCTCCTCTTTCCATATGAGCCACTCCCCAGCTGTAGCGGTCCAGAGGGCTCACCTTTTCCTAATGTGTCTGTGTCCAAAGTGGCCACTGTCTTTTAATTCACATGGAAGTGCCCTGGAAGCTAGTGGGAGCTCTGGCCGGGCACCTGAGGGTAGGTGCACCTTTCCGAGCCCCACTTTCCTCATTCTGGCCCTGGGAACTGCGAGCCCTTTGTCACAGAGCTGTCACGAAGGTGAATGGGCTCCGTGCTGCGCCCAGTGAGCGGGAGGCGCTTTTATTTTGAGGAGGTTCCGGGGAGAGCTCCTCTGGGGATCTCACCTCCGATGCCCCGCGAGAGCTGCAGCGGCCCCACTCCTCGTTTGCTCCCCTCCCCCACTGAATATCCGCCGACCCCCATAGCTGATCGGGCTGCTGAAGACGGCACGGCTGCTGCGGCTGGTGCGCGTGGCACGGAAGCTGGACCGCTACTCCGAGTACGGGGCGGCCGTGCTTTTCCTGCTCATGTGCACCTTTGCGCTCATCGCGCACTGGCTGGCCTGCATCTGGTACGCCATCGGCAACATGGAGCAGCCGCACATGGACTCCCGCATCGGCTGGCTCCACAACCTGGGCGATCAGATCGGCAAGCCCTACAACAGCAGCGGCCTGGGCGGCCCCTCCATCAAGGACAAGTACGTCACCGCCCTCTACTTCACCTTCAGCAGCCTCACCAGCGTGGGCTTCGGCAACGTCTCGCCCAACACAAACTCGGAGAAGATCTTCTCCATCTGCGTCATGCTGATCGGCTGTGAGTGCGCCCCTGGGGCAGGCGCGGGGGCTAGCCGGGGGCCCGGGGTCTGGGAAGGGCCCGAGACAGAGGAGAGGGTGGGTGTTAGAGGAGCCAGAGCGGGGCCCTGGGCCTTAGAGACCCCGGGGGCCTCCACATGGCATGTTTGGGGCTGGGACACCAGGGCAGAGGCGCGGGGCAGAGCCGAGGGGTGTGTGTGCCTGGGCTTTTGTGTTTGTGCATCTCCCGTGTGTGCTTACAATGAGATGTGCCTGCATGTGCTGCTGACCCAGTACAGGGGCGGGCGGGGTCCCTCAGACGCTGACGGCCCCACTCACCCCGCCCCCAGCCCTCATGTACGCCAGCATCTTCGGCAACGTGTCGGCCATCATCCAGCGGCTGTACTCGGGCACGGCCCGCTACCACACGCAGATGCTCCGGGTGCGTGAGTTCATCCGCTTCCACCAGATCCCCAACCCGCTGCGCCAGCGCCTCGAGGAGTATTTCCAGCACGCCTGGTCCTACACCAATGGCATCGACATGAATGCGGTGAGGCCACTGGGCTTGGCCTCTGGTTGATGGTGGGCTGGAGGGAGCAGCGTGATGGTAGGGACTCCTCCTCATGTAGCGGGCACGTCTCAGACCGCCAGAGTCACCCTCCTCCATGGTTCAGGTGGTCCCAGTTAGCGCCAGGCAGGACCCTGAGAGGAACGTGACCCTCCTTTTGCCCATGGAGCTCGTTTACTGGGTGAGCGGTCACTTTGGGGCAGGTGCTAGACCAGGCTCTGGGTGATCGTGTTTAATCCTTATGACAGCCCCAGACGGGAGCTGGTCTCCGAGCCTCACGCGTTAGAACGTGGAGGTTAGAGCAGTGAGGCGTCGTCCCCAAGGGTGCACGGCTGGAAGGGGTGGAAGGGGTGGAGCTGGAGTGGGCACCCAGGTCCTCCTCCCGATACCGGACGCCCTGGTGCTCCCCGCTGGATCTCCGGGTGGGGCTGGGAGTGGGGTCCCGGGAGAGGGCATGCTGAGCTGCCCCCTGCCTCCAGGTGCTGAAGGGCTTCCCTGAGTGCCTGCAGGCCGACATCTGCCTGCACCTGAATCGCTCGCTACTGCAGCACTGCAAGCCCTTCCGAGGGGCCACCAAGGGCTGCCTGCGGGCCCTGGCCATGAAGTTCAAGACGACGCACGCGCCGCCAGGGGACACGCTGGTGCACGCTGGGGACCTGCTCACCGCCCTCTACTTCATCTCCCGGGGCTCCATCGAGATCCTGCGGGGCGACATTGTCGTGGCCATCCTGGGTACGGCAGGGACCGGGAGCTGGGCCCGAAGTGCCTGCCGAGGCCTGGAGGGGTCCCACCCAGCCCGTTAAGGACACAGCCCTAGGGGCTGTGGCCCCGGGACCACCCACAGGGACCTTGAGCTCCTTTAACTCACCCAAGCTCAGGCCTTCCAAGGGGTCGGTGGAAAGGACTCTGGGGGTTTCCAGATTCTGCTTCCCTTCAGGGTCTCCTCACGGGCAGTGACACTCTTGTTCCTTAAAACAGGACCAAATCCAGATGCTCCAGGGTAGACAGTGGAGGGAGGTTTTGCAGCCTCAGGCAGTACAACCAAGCCTTCGCCTCCAAAGCAAAGGGAGTCCTGCTCCTCTTCCCCTCACGCTCCTTCTTCTCTGCCCTACCTGTGCACCTGGGCAGGTGTACCTGGGCACTGGGACTCCCTGCCCTCTGCCTGTCCTTCCTTTGGCCCTGGACACCTCAGGGCAGATGTGCCAACGGGGGGGGGTGTTCATTATAGATTTCAGTTCGGCATAAACACATGCTTATGCCACAAACACCCCCAAACTCAACTGGAACCAAAGTTTTGCCAAACAACAGTCGTCTTAACTACTTTCTGGTGTTTCCTGCTCTATGCTGTGCTAAGCTGTGCTATCCTGTTTGCTTTGAGTAAACAGAATGCTGGTCTTGATTCACTACTGTGTTTGATCTGTAGTTTGAAGAACATTGTTTATGGGGGTGCAGTGTTTGGCCAGGAGGGTGTTTGGGACGTGGGCTTTGGGGGGTACCAGAGGAGTTAGAACCCAAGGAGGAAGCCAGGGCCACGGGCAGCTGCTGGCTGGCCCACACGCCCTGCCTTTGCGAGCTGGGGGAGGATGGGCTGGTTGATGCTTCCCTGGCCCTGGGGGCTGGGGCCCGACCAGGGTGAGAATGCCTGGAAGTCAGGTGCCTGCTGCCTCTGCTGCCGCCCCAGGGGCTGAGCCCCCCTCTCGGTGGCCTCCAGGGAAGAATGACATCTTCGGAGAGCCTCTGAACCTGTATGCGCGCCCTGGGAAGTCCAACGGGGACGTGCGGGCCCTCACCTACTGTGACCTGCACAAGATCCACCGGGATGACCTGCTGGAGGTGCTGGACATGTACCCCGAGTTCTCTGACCACTTCTGGTCCAGCCTGGAGATCACCTTCAACCTGCGGGATGTGAGTGGGCCGCGCGGCTGGCTGCATGCTGGGTGGCTGCCCCTTCCCTGTGTGACCTTCTCTCTGGGCTTGTTTCCCTGTCTGTCAGATGGTATCTGGGTCAGACCAGGTTGTGAACGTCCCAGCCTCAGCCCCGGTCCTGGGGCAGAGCTCACACCCCCAACCCCACGTTCTCTGTTCGGGAGGGGGTCTGGCCGGGACCGGGCAGGCTGGGTGGGCGCGGAAGGGCCCTGACACCGTTCTCGGTTCCAGACCAACATGATCCCCGGCTCTCCCGGCAGCGCGGAGCTGGAGGGCGGCTTCCACCGGCAACGCAAACGCAAGCTGTCCTTCCGCAGGCGCACTGACAGGGGTGAGGCGGGGGGAGGGGAGAGGGTGGGGTCCAGGTGAGCCGGGAGGCGGGTGGGGGGCGGGGTCTAGAGGAGGCGGGGCTGAGGGCGGAGCGTGGGGTCCGGCGGGTCAGCTCCCCCCAGGCTACACAGACCTTCCGGTCCTACCTTTAGTGTCCCGCCCCCCACCCCATCACCCCATCCTTTCAGGCCCACTTGAAATGTCGCCTCCTCCAGGAAGCCCTCTTCCACCCTCCAAGGCAGGGCCGTGCCTAAGTTTCTTTGGTCCTTGCAGGGCTGGTGTCCTGGTGGGCACTGCTTTGAACTGATGAGGGGAGGAAAGACAGGACAAAGGAGGGCAAGGAGGCCAGCACGGGGGCTGAGGGCCCGGGGTCCCAGAGAGCCCCTCCCAGCAGTGCCACTGCCCGTGCTTGGGCAGCCAGTGGTCACAGACGACCTGGTCCCGCCCTCGAGTTCTCAGTCCCCTTGAAAGTGGGGGAAAGAGAGCGGAAGAAACAACTGGGGACAAACCAGGGCGTCCAGCCACAGTCATCTCCCAGACCTCCTCCAGTCCCCTCCCCTCCCCTCCCCTCCCCTCCCCTCCCCTCCCCTCGCCTCCCTTCTGTGCCTCCTGCCTGCTCTGAGGCCCCTTCTCTGTTTCCCACAGACCCGGAACAGCCAGGGGAGGTGTCGGCCTTGGGGCCGAGCCGGGCGGGGGCAGGGCTGAGTGGCCGGGGCCGGCAGGGGGGGCCGTGGGGGGAGAGCCTGTCCAGCGGCCCCTCCAGCCCTGAGAGCAGTGAGGATGAGGGCCCAGGCCGCAGCTCCAGCCCCCTCCGCCTGGTGCCCTTCTCCAGCCCCAGGCCCCCCGGAGAGCCGCCGGGTGGGGACCCCCTGACTGAGGATGGAGAGAAGAGCAGCGACACTTGTAACCCACTGTCAGGTAGGGCGAGGGCCCCCTGGGCAGGCGGGCGGGGCGGGGCCTCTGTCCCAGCCTCAACCCAGCTCTCTGGCTCCAGGCGCCTTCTCAGGAGTGTCCAACATCTTCAGCTTCTGGGGGGACAGCCGGGGCCGCCAGTACCAGGAGCTGCCTCGCTGCCCCGCCCCCGCCCCCAGCCTCCTCAACATCCCTCTTTCCAGCCCTGGCTGCCGGCCCCGGGGCGATGTGGAGAGCAGGCTGGATGCCCTCCAGAGGCAGCTCAACAGGTGAGGGTGGTCCCTGGGATCAGCCTAGGCCCGGCTGTGTGTGTCCAGGGGCGCGGGCTAGTAGGGGTGGGGCATGGGCATACTGCAGTGTGGTCTGTGGGTTTCGGGCAGTGTTGTAGGGTGAAGTGGGTGTCTGCTCTGTCTAGGCCTGTCCACGTGTCCAGCAGCTTGACCCTCTCCTTGCGTTCAGAGCCGAGCCAGGGGCTGCCACACCTAGAATGAAGAGTGGACCTGGGGTTGACCAGTTGGCTGTCCAGAGGGTGGTCCTGAAGTTGCAGTCACTGGTGTCTCCACTTCCCTGAGACCCAGGGCGTCCTCCTCCTTCTCGCCCCAGGCTGGAGACCCGGCTGAGTGCAGACATGGCCACTGTCCTGCAGCTGCTGCGGAGGCAGGTGACGCTGGTCCCGCCTGCCTACAGCGCTGTGACCACCCCGGGGCCCGGCCCCACCTCCACCTCCCCTCTGCTGCCCGTCAGCCCCCTCCCCACCCTCGCCCTGGACTCGCTTTCTCAGGTAAGTTCCAAGCACCCCAGCCCTGCCTCTTCTGCACCGATTCCACCCCAGACCGGCTTTGCTGCCCTTTCTGCTTGGCCTTGGGCCCCAGCCGCCTCCCACCCTGTTCCTGCCCTCCTCCCAGGCTGTACTCCTGGAGGAGGGCTGCCATAGGAGCTGCGAGCACAGAGCACAGCAGGAGAGCCCCCAACTAAGCCCCCAGACAGCTGGGCCAAGGAAGCCAGCAGGCCGAGTGGCATTCGCTCCCCTAGTGTCACCTGAATGGCCGTATCTACTCAGGGTGCCTGTGTCATGGCTGTGGGTGGAGGGACTGTTGAGCCAGGGGCCTGGTGGTGGGTGCTGGGTGCCAGCGTGCCCTTGGGATAGGGTCCCAAGCCCCTGCTGCGACTGATACCCCCTGGGTCAGGTTCTGCTGCCAACCCTTGACTCTCATGCTCAGTGCTTTGCGGGGTTGTCCTGAAGGCTCTGGCTAAGCCCCAGGGTAGCACTTCTGGCCCGCATCTCTCCCCTCCTGCCAGAGATGGGCCTCTGTTGCCCTTTGTCCTCTCCTAAGTGGACACGTGTGTTCCTGGCCTCCTGACGGGACAGCTGTGTCTGGGTCTCAAGAATGGGGCTCCTCTGGCGACAAGAGGTGGCCTGGGATCTGCTCCCCCCTCCCTCTGGCATCTGCTCCCCCCTCCCATCTGCCGCCTGCTCCTGTTTGCAGACACCAGGGCCCACGTCAGCCAATGTGCCAGTCTCCCTTCACAGCCTCCTCCGCAGAGATCTCACAGCAGACTCGTCAGCACCCACAAAGCCCCTCCTGCCTGCCCTGGTACTCTGCCTGGCCTTCCGAGGCCTGGCCGCCCGCCTGCCTCTGTTTCTAGGTCCCTGAGTTCTAGATTGGAGGAAAGAACCCTGTCTCTCTCTCTGTACAGCTTCTGTGCCAGCTCAGGGCCCCTTATTCTGGATTGGGTTTGAATCCAGCGGCCATGTTCCCTGGGGAGGGGAGCGGCTGTGGCCTCAGGCTCTCCCCGAGTCAGGCAGAAGCTCCCGAGGCCCCCAGATGCCCGGTCTGGCTCTTGCCCACCCAGAGCGCGTTTCTCCCAGAGCCGGTGGGAGTCGTGCTCTGTCTGCCTTGGCGCTTCCCCTGTGCCCTGCAGGCCTCTTCTGTCTGTCACCAGGGTCTCCTGACCCTCTCTATCCTCTGCCCCTCCCCTGCCCCTTGGCTTCTAGCTTCTCACACTCTGGTTTCTTTGCAGGTTTCCCAGTTCATGGCGTGCGAGGAGCTACCCCAAGACGGCCCTGCTCGACGCCTCTCCCTGCCGGGCCAGCTGGGGGCCCTCACCTCCCAGCCCCTGCACAGACACGGCTCAGACCCGGGAAGTTAGTGGGCTGCCCAGTGTGGACACATGGCTCACCCAGGGTTCAGTGCGCTGCCTGGGCCCCTCCTGTGGAGGCCCTGCCCGGGAGGCCCTGGCCGCTGACGGGAGAGGAATAGGAAGGCACAGCTCCTCCTCCAGCCCTTGGGACCATCTCCTCCTGCGGTCCCCTGGGCCCCGTTGCGGGGGGGGGGGGGGCAGGGACAGGGCCGGGCAGTGGATGGGGGTCTGTGGTCCCCTCACTGCCCTGGGGGCAGTAGCTGGTCTAACTGCGGGAGCACCCGGCCCTGGGCCTTAGGCACCTCAAGGACTTTTCTGCTATTTACTGCTCTTATTGTTAAGGATAATAATTAAGGATCATATGAATAATTAATGAAGATGCTGATGACCATGAATAATAAATAATTATCCTGAGGAGACTCCAGGGGTGCTGGGAGGGTGCAGCCATCAGCACGCTGTACCCCACGTTCACGTTCATAGTGTCCTGTGCACTGGCCTCTCTGAGGGAATCCAGGCCGATGTGTCCGTGTGCACAGGGCCTGCAGGGGCAGCTCCGACGTCTGGGTGTGGAGTCTGTGCAGTCGGGGTGCTCCCTCGGGGCTGACACAAGTCACCTCCAGGACCTCTGGCCTCCGGAGGGCCCTGCTTCCATGTGGTCCTGGATTCAGGATGGCAGAGAGCCACCTGGACTCTTTTACATATAGAGATTGTCCTAATGGGATGCCAGGCCTGGGGTCCCGCCCCTCAGGGTCATGGTGGCTTGCTGGGTGGCACACTGGCCCCCAGAGCTGGCCCCAGGCTGACTGCTGGCGGCTGTACTCTTCCCTCACACAACTCGTGAGCCCAGCCCGTACTGATTTTAACCTGGGGCTGTATTTGGCCAAGCCCCCAACTTGGCCTTCTCTTGACCTTGACTCAGACTCACACGGATCCTATATAATTGGCTCCCCACAGCACACCAACTCTGGGCACGCTGGTTTTCTCAACCCTGACCAGAGCCCCCGCCCCCTGGTGTCTGGCTCCAGACGGGCCTCACCTCCGTCACCTCTGTCACTTGGTCACCTGTGATCCCCGACCAGCGGAGCTGCCTGAAGAGGGTGGAAGTTTCAGGCGGCTCATTCCCAGTATCGGAGGGGCAAGTCAGAACGGATGTCCTGGGGCCAGTGAAGGGCGGTGGCTGTGTGCGTCCGTGTGCTCGTGAGTGTGCGCGTGTGCACGTGCCATGCTGGTCTTGCGCGAACACCCAGCGTCTCAGAGGAGCTGCCGTGCAGTGGCCGTGGTAGGGCGGCTGCCAGCCAGCAGGAGGGGCCGATGGGCAACAGTGCTGCCCAAGGCCTCCAGGGTCGCTTAGTCCTGTAATCCCTGACCCTCCGAGGTGGGTGTGTTAGCCTTGCTTTGAACAGAGCCCATTACTGCCCGTGCCCGGGATGGGGAGGGTGTTGGCAGGAGACCCTGGTCTCTGAGCCACCTGGAGGGTGCTCTCTTTCCAGAGCGGGTAGGAGAGAAGTTCCTGGTGGTTCTGCAGCAGGGCCTTGGCTCCCCTACCAGAGGGTGGGACCAGGGAGGGGTCCCTGTGAGTTCAGCCTGCACTGGGGGACAGGGCACGGAAGATGGGCACGGGGAATAGAGATGGGGGAATAGACCCGGGTGGTGGGGAGGGGTGACCCAGAGAGGTGGGCCAGGCAGAAAGGGCAGCTCTGTGCAACGGGGTCTGGCACGTGTGTACGCAGGTGTACACGTGAACGTGAGTGTGCATCTCTTCATGGTTTGGGAGCGCACATGCAGGCCTCCCTGGTGGATTGATGTGCGTGGGCGTGGGGTGGGGTTCTAGCTGGGGGGATGCCCTAGATTCAGGGTCAGCTCACGGATTACGGGCGCAAGCAGACACCGTCAGGATCTCAGCCCCGGACACCGGCAGAGGCCCCCGTGAGGTTGATGATGAGAAATAAAATGACAGACGAAGCTCGCTGCACTTGGCACGCGGGGGCCGAGGTGCTGGGCCAAGTCCCCGCTCTCCGGCACTCTCTCCATCCTTCTTACCATCTGTCCCGTCCTTAGAGCATCTTCATCTGGGAGCTCAGCCCTGATTCGCAGCACTCTGTCCAGGTGTGGCGGTGAGGGCTGGGGGAGCCTGGGACAGCCTGCGGGAGGGGCTGAGGACCGGCGCAGCGAGTCAGGGCCCTGTGCTGGTGGGCGTGGGGAGCAGAGGAGGTGAAACCCGGGCCTGCACTCCCTAGGCTTTGTATCACGTTTGACACTGGTTATTCTCTGGGGCACATGCCGGCGTCCACAGTCAGCTGCCCGCCACCAGGCAGGGAGTGCCCTGCCTGGGCCTGGAGGCCTGATGTGTGCGCTTCCAGGGGTGTGTGTGTGGGGGGGGGGTGTCTGTGCTCAGGGTGGGGGCTGGCCCAGCAGAGGGGAAACCTCTCCGTGCTTGTCCTCGATGGAAGCACATGGGTGCCCAGGGGCTGGTCCGCTCAGTCCGGTTGAAGGAGCTTTCTGCATGGCCAGGACACCAGTGCCAGGTCCCTACCAGGAGCCACCACTGAGATCTGAGAGTGGGCGGAGGCCAACGGTCACAGTGGCTCCATTTACGATGGTTCCACCTGCCCGGCTGTGTCATTTGACCCCTAACACCCCGCAGAGGTGGGTGTCGCTGGTCCACGTGAGGAGGGTAAGGCTCAGGATGGTCGGCAACTGACCAGTGTTAGTGCTGCGGGTGGGTGGCCGTGTGCAGCTCCGGGCTTCACTGGAGGGGCCGCAGTGGCCCTCAGGGCACAGCACGGAGCCAACACTCGCCGGCCGCAGGGTATGGGCTTGGACCTGGGCCTTGGGGGACCTGAGAGGCCGGCGGGGGTGCAGTGAATGGGCAGTGCAGCCCAGCATGGAGCCCAGCGTGGAGCCCAGCGTGGAGCCCAGCGAGGAGACTGCTTGCCTCCGTTCCCAGCCTGCCCCACCCTCCCCTGCCCTGGCCAGGTGGCAGCGCACCCCCTCCTGCCAGCCTGGGACCATGCTCCACCCAACACATGAATGGTGCCATAAAACACAGCTGTGCCTGTGACCCGGGAGCTCTCTGTTGGGCGGGATCAAGTTCTTGGGCAGGGTCTGCTCAAGGCTGAAGGCTGCCTAGAACCCAGAGGGGGGCCCCAGCCTTCATGGGGTCCTGCTGCGTCCCTGGGACCAGGCGGGCTCCCAGGTGTGTTGGGAGGGGTGGGTGGTAATTCTGGGGGCCGGCTGGGGGTACAGCAGGCTGTTTCCCTCCAGGGACCACCTTTGTTCACCATACATTGATGCATTGCCCACTCTTTTAAGGTCCAACCTCATCTTTTTTTTTTTTTAAATAGAAATCAGTAAAAATGCTTTGGAAGGAAGATGAAGGACCATCAGAAGCCAGTAGCCTGTGAGGCTGGGAGAAGGGATGCCTAAGGGGCATCTCGTTCCTGGGGCTCAGGAAGAGAGGAAAGAAGGAGGTGTGGGGACCACTGTGCCGCCACTCTGCACCCTAGGACAGGTTCCACGGTCAAATGAAGGGCGCTTCCCCTGCCGGCCTGAGGCAATGAGCTCTGGACTGTCAGCTCTCTGCGGGTGGGGCTCGTGTGACTCTAGGGCCCCGAGCAGTGCGGGGCACTGGGATGTACTCAATGTTTCCTGAATGAACGAAGGAAGCGCCACCCTTCTCCCCGGGACGGAGACCCTTGGGCTTGGCCAGCAGGGCTGGGGAAGGCCTCCTGCGGCTGGCAGAGCAGAAGCGGGGCATCTGTGCAGGGCTCTGGCCCTTCACCCTGGACCCGTGGGTCACCATGCTCTACTCCATTCCTGTCCTCGGGCCTGCACTGCCCAGTTCTGTGGCAACTGCCCGCTGCCCCAGACCTGATCCCTGACCTCCCCCGTCACCTGGGCTCCTGGAGCCACAGGACTCTGGTGACAGGGGGGCAGGGCAAGGGTGCAGTCCCCTCCTCTCCTGCAGGGCCAGTCACCAACGGTGGGGGGTGGGTTGTTGTGCAGACTGGAGGGTTCTCCCAAACCAAGAGGGCCAGAGGGGTGGGGCGGGAACTGCAGGGGCCGTGGTGGGTGAGGAAAGGTCCACGCGGTAGCCGATGCCCAGGAAGGCAGGTGGCAGAGCCTGGAGCCGGAGTCTGGTCAGGGGCGGGGGACAGGAACCGCGGGGCAGGCCCGGCCTGCCTTCCCCCACCTCCACCTCTGCACCTAAAGGTCCAGGAGCGGAGTGAGGTGCTGGTGGTGCCTCCTGGCCGCGTGACTCAGCCACTGCCCAGAGTCCAGGTGCAAGCTCACCCTGCTCTGTCCTCACATGGACCCCCGCTCCTCTCAGCCCAGGCAGTGGCAGCTCTCACGTTTCAGTGACAAGTAAGAGTCATCGATACTCATGGAGCCCATCCTTTGTGGTGAGCATTATTCTGACTGCCTGAAACCCAAGGCCCAGAGGCTCGTGGAACCTGCCAGCATCCGTGGCTCCTGAGGGTGGAGCTGAGGCATGAACCCGGGCAGTCTGAGTCCCCCGGGCTGGCCCGAGCCTGGGGCACACCATCTCCCTTAGGCAAGACAGTGACTAGGAGACCTTTGCAAGTGTCTGCGATTTCTAGGACCTTCTCTCCCCTGCAGGCTTCTGTACCTTCTGTTCCTTTGCCTGGAGCGCCCTTTGTTTGGTGAATTCCTGCTGGTCTTTGGGTGGCTCTTCCAGGAGATGCCTGGTGCTCCCCCTCCCTCGGGCTGGGGCCCCCTCTATGGTCCTGCAGCACCCTCTGCTCTCCCCACCCCGCCTTCCCTACCCTGGACTGCCAAATCCGGGGGCTTGTCATCTCTGCGCTACACCATCCCTGTCTCTGTCCCCCAGCACCACGCGCAGTGGCTCCCCCAGAGCAAGCACGCAACAGTTTACTAAATGAGCATTTCTGGATTTGGGGAGTGATTAGCAGTAAAATCCTTTTTTTTTTTTTTTTTTTGGGGTATGCGGGCCTCTCACTGCTGTGGCCTTTCC